ACCATTCATAACCCAAAAAGGTTTAGGAAACAAATTGAATAATAAAAGCAACATGCTACTCCACAGTCCATACATTAAAATATATATATATATATTTTTTAAATTATCCATTTTGGTATTTTCACCAACCAGCTGACACTGAAGAAAATTGGTTATAGCCGATGGTAAATTAGCTATATGTTGATGTTTTCAAACAATCTATCTATATATATTTTTTTTAAATTATAATTTATATACTATAAAAAATATTATCTAAATATATATATATATCCGTATAAATAGAGCACCTATAATAATTACAGTAAGTAAAATGCTAAATCAACAACTATCAGGCCAATCAGGCCGATCTTTGACGTGACACATGCCACGGTGCAATAGATTTCCTTTCTCTTTTTGAGCAAATTTGTTATTTAGTCACTATTTTTAATAATTTAAATTTATTTGAGTCTTGTTATTTTTTTAGTTAAATTAATGTAAATTAATTAATCTTTATAGGATTTAGATATTTTGGATTCGTGATTTTATGATATTAGGGATTAAAATCTTTTAAATTTACAATATATTTGAATTGAAATGAATGAAGAGGAGGGGAGGAGGGAGGTAAAGAATTTCCTTTATTTTAATTTTTTTAATTTATTTATTTATCTAAATGAGGAAGAAATAAGGAATGAAAGAGGAATAAAAGAGGAATGAAAGAACACAATTCTCCTCCTCTCGAATCTCCTTAACCCAATTATACAATTAGTGTCTAATGTATTAGGGTTTAGAGTTTTCAAATTTAATATTTAAAAATTTTAAGTGTTTAATAATTAAAAAATTAAAAATTAGAAGGCTAAAAATTAAAATTATAATTTTAAGCTTAAGAAGAAAAATAAAAAAACTATATAGGAACTAATCGGCTTGAAAACCAATTGGTCCCTATAGCATTACCCTTACAATAATTTTATGTGTGGCAGTGTGGTATGAATTGGCCAGCTAACTACTATACTTGAAAGATGAATCTACAAAATAATGTTTCCTCTCCGTATATGAATTCTTTTTAACATATTATTTCCTCCATTGTATTTGAATTTATTTGTTATCATGAGTATGTACTTAAAAATATTAGAGCATTGAAGAATGCCATGCACCCTCTAAATCTTGTCATTTAAAAGAAAAGAAAAGAAAAACAATACCCATATCAGAATATAGAAACACAGATGAAGGCTAGCGCCCTTCACAATATTATTCGTGCACAAGCACACAGCATAGCCATATGATATAACAGCTAGCAAAAGAGCACCCGCAAGGCAGTTACTTCAGCCCAAGGAACTGCATAGAAGGATAGAAGCAACATGCATGATACTCAAAAGCAGCTGCACCACATACCCTAGGATTAATACACACCATTCTAGAAAAGAAAATGCACATCCCTCGTCCTTATTTAATTTTTACGTAATTTCGAGTCCGCTGGGAGGAGACACAAGGATTCCAACATAAAGTTAGCTATTTGAACCGGTTCTTTCATGGGGAGAGTTGCATATAAAGCTATGGTGCAAGCGTGAGCACTGCACTAAGTAACTTGCATCCAATCAATGGGGAAGGGTACTCGCCTATTGCAACAGTTGACTTGCATCCGTTCGATGTCTCCTGATGATTGTTGTAATCGTTGGTCTTCTGCGTCACTATATTTTGGATAGCTTCCCAACTCCCTTCAAAGTCGTTTTCTTTTCGAATCTCTGTGTAGACCTATATATACTTGAAACAAATAATTAATTAATTACTTGATATAACCATGTCAATGACACTTATATATAATTTCAATAATTTATTTAATTTTTTCATTGAATGATTGAAATTTGTATACTTTTTATCTTATTTTTAAAAGATAATTATCATTTTTATCTATAACAAGTTGTGTTAAATTACAATTATACATGTGTAAAGATAAATAATTGAGATTTTATGTAAATAATTATATATGTGACAGTTATATGTAACTAAATCCTATATACAAAGAGAGGTGTTTGTCTGCCAAATCTTAAAAAAATTATGGGCAAAAAAATCTTAAACTATATTATTTCATTAAAGTACAATGGGAAAAAAGACTAAAACAAATTAATTCCTGGGATAAAAATAAGTTCTTTTAGTTTTTTTTTTAATTCAAATTTATTGAAATAATATAGTTTATTGTATTTTCCTCTTAATTTTTTAAAAATCTGGTTAATCTACACTTTTATTATATATATATATGAGAAAAATGTTTTGCAGGTTATTTTTTCAAAATATTTTTGAAGAATCTATAATATAACTTATTTTTTAATTAATATTTTTAAAAATCAATCATTAAATTAAAATTTTTTTACTGTCGTTCATG